CCCCTCGCGCATGCCCCCTGTCCACACTGCAGGCTGTAAGGACAGTCCTGGAGGGTGCGGGTCACTCCTCGCCCTCCTCTTCATGGTGGTGGTGGTTGGAGACGGGAGCCTCTTCCACCTCTTGCTGGTGGTGGGCATAGTGATGGGGGCCAGGGCCCTCAGCGGGCATGTTCTCCTCCGCATTCAGGTAGACGTTGAACAGGGCCCCCTCATGGCTTGGCTCTTTCCCACAGGCCTGGCAGCTGCAGTGGAGGATCTTCTCCACCAGCTTGTCGACTCTGGGAATCTCATCGTTGCCTGGGCAATCCAGCGTCACCTGGATCAGAAAGGGACATTACGAGAGAGTGAGAGCTAGTTCTTCTGCCCCACTCCCAACCCAACTATCCAGCCAGCTATAGGCCTCTGCTCTGAACCACACCACTATGCCTTTCTTATTTTAAACTCTTTGGCTCAGAGACTGTCATTTCCTATGGGTTTGTGTAACCACAAGGTGCTCTCAAGCTGGAGAGACTTGTGGTCTTAAGTCCAGAAGTTCCTGAATCAGTCTCTGCTGTTAGCCAAACTGGTGGCTATTGCATGTGTACAATGCTTTGTGCAATGGGTCCCTGATCAGGTATTATCACCACAGAAATATGCCATCATAGTCTTGGAAGGCCCTTGTAAATGCTACGCTATGTGTGGTCAGCTGGGGGCTCACAGTCAGAGGCTGCTTCTGCCCTAAGGTCCATCACTGAGTTAATGGCAGACCTGAGAAGAGAATCCAGCTTTCTTGACACACAGCCCCATGACTTAGTCTGGGCTCCATAGCTGCATGGATCAGTCTCCAGAGCACCATGGCGATTTGCCAAGCCAGTGAGGAAGGCAAGGTGTCATATGCAACTAATTTACAGTCTCACTGCAGCAATTCTGGCATGAGAAGGTGCAGATCTGTTGTCAACCAGGAGAGCAGAGGGTGACTGGCAGATGGGATGTGGGAAGCCGTTCTGGGCACAAAAGAAGACAAAAAGCCGGGAGTGGGAGAAGGAGACAAAGGGAATGTTCTGAAGAGAGGGCACGTGGGTGTGAACAGAAATGAATAATGCATGGAGCCATGGGGGATGGTGCAGCTAATATAGTTATGTATTTTTTAAATATGCATAGCAATAACATTGCCTTTCATCAAAAGATGGCAGGGTTCTAGAGAGACAGCCATTAATTGCCTGCCCAGGAAGGTCAGAATTAATGTTGCCAGGCTATAGATGGGAAAACTGAGGTGCAGAAAAGGGAAAAAAAACTTGCTAGTGGCAGAGCTCATCCAAGGCTTAGGTCTGAAGCACAAAGTCGATCACCCTTGACCACTGCAAGCGCCTTAGTGCAGGTGTTACTTACAATTTCCCACATGGACTGTGCGGGCATGCAGGAGTCACAGTGTACCAGGGACTCTGTAGACTGAGGGAAGGTGTTGGGGACGCTATAGCTGAAGCACTGTCCCAAGCAGGCCCTGCAAAGATGAAGCAAGAGTAAAGCCCTGATACCAGAGCTCTAGGAGGAACTGGGGCATGATGCCAACCCTGTTGAATATGCTTCCCACCCAGGAGTCTGGAAACACAAGGGGCTGTAATAAACAGTGAAGTTATGGTCTTCTGCCAGGGTAGACTGGAGACAGGTGGACAGAAAGGTGTCATGGTGGGAAAGCAGCCAGGACCCAGAGTTGCTCCACCAACTAGTATCCTTCTCCAACCCACCACCAGGAGTTCTGTGTGTGTACTGCAGGGGGAATGGAACCCAATGGGCCACAGAAGCAGAGGCAGGACCCAAAGCCTTGAAGGGAAGTAAAGGAATAGCCTCCCTGCCTCTTCTTTACACACTGGGACCTCCTGGGCAATGAAGGACACAGGGTGAGCCAGCTTCACAAGATCAAGCTGCACTGCCACAAGTCCATGGCTTGCTAGGTGGGCATCATGCTGAACATCACGGCCCCAGAGTTGTCAGTGGTTTGTGGGGCTAGAACTCAGATGTTCCTGCTCAGAAAGCCCTGGCTTTTGCCACTGGAGGAAAACCAGTTGAGATGCAGCGCTTATAACCCAGAGTGGAGCAGTTCTGATGCTATCCTGAAGCAGTGCACAGGGAAGACACAGAAGTTGTGGCATCTTCCAGGGTGATCACCCCCCCCCAAATGAATGCACTCCCATCCCCAGCCTGCCTTTATGTCTCTTGCGGGCTGGGCTTCACCCAGGCCTTCCTGTACCTGTTCTGGATGGACTTGGACTCGCAGCCACTGTGTCCCACAATCTGGGTGATATTCTTCGCCTCACACCAAGCACTCTTGTCCGGGAAGAGGGCCAGTTTGTTAATGGGAGGTGGCGCAGTCAGGATCACAGCTGGGAAAAGGGCACCTACCAGGAACCATAACATCATGGCCAGCTCCACCAGAACCCTAGAACTGGAGTCCAAAGAGAAAACATTAGTGGGGGGAAAGGGAGGTTCACTGGCTCCCTCCTAGTAAACCCCCCTGTTTCAGGGATCTCAAAGCACCACAGGAACATGCTTGAATTAAGCTTCACACACCCCAGAGGGAGGGGAAAAAGAAGAGGGCACCAGTATCCCATTCTGTAGCTTCAGATTCTAAGCCTGAATTGCAAGGAGGCTGAGCACTTGTGGAGCCCACTGGGCAAGGTGGCTGTGATCATTTCTGGAAAGCAGGGCCTGGGTGACACTGGACTGAGCATGAGGTTAATCCAGAATCATTGGCTCCTAATCCTGGTTTATCAGAGCTAGAGGCAAGCCCCCTCTTCTTCCCCTCTGCTTGAGCCTCCCTGCCCAGCTATACATTGGTCCCTCACAAGTTCAGCTAGAAGGAGGCAGTGGAGCCAACAGCTGGGGAGATACTTGGGTTGTTCATTCTGGGATGCGAGAGGAATCATATTGCCCTGGGGTTCCAGAGGAACCACAGACAAGGGCTACAATGCCATAAAGGATGAGGGGTGTGAGATATGTAAATATATTGAATGTGCTCATTAGAATCCAAGCTAACTTCTTGCTTTGTTGAATCTGCTGATGGCAGTTAATGCATAGCTTTACTTCATGCTCCAGATATATTCAGAGCTGGCCAATATGGCAGCACCCTTGTCTATGCTTGTGAACATTTTGATTTCAGAACGCCCTTGGATAACTACAACAAGGGGCACCACAATTGAGGGCGGGGGAGCAAAACACTTGCTTTACTACATCCAGACCTAAAATGCATTTCTAGTTCCTGCTGCTTTATTTCACATGACAGTTTTAGCACTTCCACATTACCTGTTAGACCCAGCATCCCTCCAGCTGTCTCTCTTCTGCCTCACCCCTTAGAGGAAGGCAGGTCGGTGCTTAGCGCAATGCTGCCAAATTCCATTGCAGTAGAGCTCAGTACCACAGGGGTTCTGAGCTTCTAGAGCTGCCAATACAACCCAGAGGATGTGATGTGTCCTGTGTGCGTTTCTCGATGGGATTATCAATTATTTCTGCAGCTCTAAAACCTACAGAGATGTAGCTCCAGCCAGAGAGCTCCTCCCCTGATGAACATCAAATCAACAGGGGACCTATATTTGCCCCTCTGCTCCCTATTTTCTTTCTCCATCCCACCTTTTAACCCTTTCCATTACTATTTTCCTGGGCACCACAACTCAGAAGCATAATGGGGTGGGAGGCATCACCCACTATGCAGAGCAGGACAAGCTGGCCTAGAAAGGGTTTGGCTAACGCAGGCTGTTCCCAGGCTTCGTATCTGAGAAAGAGGACAGAATACATTCAGAAGTAGCTGGCAAGCTGAGTGATAAAAGCAAATATTTAGACCCTTTTCACCCTGGGGCAGATGCATGTCTAACACCTGGCTTGTCTGGAATCCCACAGACCCCGTGCACTCCCATGGGAAAAGGCACTGGCCTGGTAACCATTTTGCCTTCGTGGCAAGGCCAGGAAGAGATGAACCACTAAGTCCAGAGTCAAATGGACTCAGTTTTCAGACCATGGCCCCTAATTATAATGGGGGTGGGGGCAGCACCACCAGTATCTTGATCTGGGGCATGTGTGGGACTCTCCAAGCTCTCGAGTAAAACTGAGCTGAGCTCTCTCGGCCTGCAAAGCCATCACCTTAGGGCTGAAGAAGGCACCCGGGGTGAGGCTTTTCATTCTGGCCACTACAGCCTATCACTTTATTAGATTTTTCAGGCCAGGGGATCCAGCATTTTCTCTTGCAACCTTCTGCCTAGCCCATCGCATAGACAGCCTGTGACTGGCAGTGGTCAGCCTGCCTGTGCCAGCAATGATCTCAATCCTTTCATGGCAGAATGCAGGGCCCCTGAAAAATAAGAAGAAACTGGGTCACGGGAAGAGCTGGAGCTGCTGCCTGGGACTTGGCCTCTAGGATCTAAGTAAACTTCCCTTAGCCTTCTCCCTCATTAGTATTCACAACAACCTCCTTTTCCCACTATCAGCTGCTGTGTGATATTAATTATTCCATGGCTTTCCCCCTCTACTGCCTCTAGGGTGAGCCAGGCCACTTTTCCACAACCCTGCCATCTTCCCCCACCCCTTCCCCAGCTGCAGCTCTACTGGGTTAAGCCAGGGTGTCTGATATTCAGGGCCAAGGAGTTATTCATTTGGGGGCCCCAAAAATTAGAATCAGAAAGCTCAGAAATTAGAAAAGAAACTGTTATGATTCCTGGTGCTGAGCACAGCTCTGCAGCAGGTATGGAGCAGCTGCAGGCTAACATCCAGTGCCTACATGCCCTGCAGAACTGCAGTTGCATCTTATTACAGCCAGAAGCCACATACACAGCACTGGTCCCCATTGGCTCCATCTAGGTGGCAACAAGAACTCATTGCTTTAAAATCAGAACAGCCACATGGAATTTCTCTCAGGGTGTTACCATCCACTGTGAAAAGACAGCTGATGTTTGCTGCAGAGGCAGCTGCTTTCCAGTGATGAGCAAAATGATCTCTCATGATCTGAATCTAATTCCATGCACAGCCTGGTTTCCTTGCAGGTGGACTGAGAAAAGCCATGAGTTGCCACTCACGAAGCATGCTGCTGACTGCTCCAGTGTCAGGAGAGGGGACTGCCTCATCCCTACTCCGGAGGGGTCGCCAAGTCGCAACATGTGTGTTGAACTGAGGAGGGGAGTCCCTCAGATCCTGCTCTTTGATTGAAAAAAAAACAAATTGGAGTCATGGTTTTCCAGCATTTGCAACAAACCTTCTCATGACTTATTCCATTTGCACTTCAGCAAGGTTCGGAAAGTTTGAATGTAAAGAATTAAAGGCACTAGCCAGGTACCCAAAGATTACCCAATCCTTATGACACCTGCAACATGTCCTTAGCAACCAGAAGTAGATGGCTTCATTTCACTCCAGCCTTACTTCTCCAGCTTAATTTCCACATTTATCCAGCAGGTGGTACTGCAAGGCAACACGAAGGAAGCAGACTGGGTAACCTTAGCATAGATGTAAGAAACCCCTTGAAATTATTACCAACATATAATTTGCTTTTAGAGAGAGACTCCTTCACATTCAGCAGTAAGCAGGGTGAGGCATTTTGTATTACCCCAGGGTAATGGAACTCAGTCTGCAAAAGGATGGCTTCTTTTTATACGAGCAATAAACTTACTGCATGAGACCAATAGCCATAGCATTTTACTTCCCACTAGAGAAATTACATACATTTTTTCCTTCCAGGCCAGATATAGGCTTGGACCAAGATGCCAGCTATTAACACTCCTAATCACTGGGGAAAAGCAAATGTAGACATCATGGAAATAGAGAAATATTTTCCTGCATAGGATTTGGACAGAGTCAGAGCAGGAGTCAGACATTTAGGCTATTTAAAATATGAGTTAGAAGCATGTGATTTGTTATTTCCTTCTGTTTATCCAGCAACTGATCCAAAGCCCACACTGAAGCCCATGAAAAGACTCCTGCTGATTTACATGGATCTTGGATCCAGCCCTAAAAGGGTTTCTGGAAACATGGTAGGAGAAAGAAATTAAGAAGTTGCTTAATCTGTTCAGTGCCAATGTCAGATGAGGCTCTGGTGGAGGAAGTCTCAACTCCCTGCTCTTTAGTCATTCCATTAATCCCTCTTGGAGAGACATGCCAAGTTAAAGGGTCCTCATTTTCTGCTACATAAGGATGTCTTGTTTAGCAGCTCCTGTGACTCAGAATCATACATTTTAAGGTCAGGAAGGACCACTAGATCAGATAGTCTGACCTCCAGTAGAACACAGACCACTGAACCCTGTGCAGGGCCCAGGTTTGATTAGAAACTATAATCCAGAGAAGCCTCTTGTCTCCATCTGAAGGCACCAGGAGATGCATGTTTGGAATGCCGCGCTCTCAGTCTCACTGAAAAGATGCTCCGCTCCTAAGGAGATCAGGCCTTTCAAATGCAACTGACTGTGGAACAGTGTGTCACTCTTCTGCTAGTTGTGGTTTCTTTTAATCTTTGTTATCATCTCATTGCACTACATGACATGATGCTAAAAATGTGACGACAGCTATCCAGGCCTGTGTTCTACCAGCCTTGTTCAGCAGAGCAGCTCTGTTCACATGATCAATCCCATTGTCTTCAGCAGGACAACTCGCATGAGTAAGAGGTTGCAGGCTCAGACTGAGCTGCTGAGCGAAATGAACTTTGCAGTTTCCATTGGAATTAATGGGAGTTGTGTGACCTAATCCCTTAGCTGGCTTTGAAAAACACAACTTCAGGCTATACACTTGTTCAGAAGAAAATATAAGGTTCTCTCTGCAGCCTTCTGTCCATTCAAATCTAATTACAGCCTCAGAGCTACTAGGCTACCCAGAGAGAAGATCACAGCCTCACAGGGGATGCTAGTAATTCCTCTGGGTCATAGATTTCATAGACATTAGGGCTGGAAGGGACCTCGGAAGATCATCGAGTCCAGCCCCCTGCCCAAAGGGCAGGAAGTCAGCTGGGGCCATAGGATCCCAGCAAGATAAGCATCCAATTTGTTCTTGAAGGTGTTCAATGTAGGTGCTTGAACCACCCCCAATGGCAGGCTGTTCCAGACCTTGGGGGCTCAGACAGTAAAGAAATTCTTCCTTATGTCCAGCCTGAAACAGTCATGTAGTAATTTATGACCGTTTGACCTTGTCATCCCTTGGGGCGCTCTGGTGAACAAACGTTCCCCCAGATACTAATAAACTTATAGGTGGCCATCAGATCACCCCTGAGTCTGCACTTTTCCAGGCTAAAGAGCCCCATGTCAGCAGAATATAGTCTGTGCTCACTTAGATATTTACAGTAGGATAATGATGCTTCCCAAGGTAGGTTTTCCAAGCTCCTGTACATCCAGAGCCCAGACCCAACCTAGTTTGAGGTAAGAAGCCCTGTAATGTTTGGAGCCTTTTTTCCATAGGGGTGAAGGAAAACGTTCCACTGGAATA